TTAAAAAAAATGAAAGCGATATAAAGTTTAATATATCAATACATATAATTCATAAAGCGATTTAATTAGTTTAAACAATCACTTCAATTTTCCTTTTTAAAAATTCCAATTTATCTTTTCTGATGTTACGTTTTATTTATTGTACTATTTTTTTTTCTATTAAGTCTTATTAAACCTTATTTTTTGTTTCTACCTCGCCTCTAGGTCAACATTTCGGATTCTTTTTTTTTCTTCTTCATAATGTATATTTTAATATTAATATTTTATTATACTTGAAAAAAATGCCAAAATTTATTTTTTTTCAAATACAAACTAATATTTGGTTATATCTTGGTAACATGAAAATTTACGGTTCCATCAAGCAAAATTGTGAGATCTTTCATAAGACCCCAAATGTGTCTGGGCTCAAAATTTATTGTATTCAATGCATACAGCGCAAAAACAGAAAAAATATTTACTTAATTCTATTGACCACTAACACAAATTAATATAATTTTTGTCCTGAAACGCTTTGTTTTGGAGAGACGACGACTTTTTTAAAAATCTTATCACAGAATGGATTTAGATATTTATGTGCATAATAAATTATAAATCCTATTAACCTTAAATATAAATATATAATTATAGTAAAAACAAATATTATCTTTATTTAAAATTATATTGGACAGAAAATATACCACAGATATTTTGAATTCGGTTGTTAAAATCCTCCTTGCTCCCATATGCAACATTCCAAATGCAATTCCTACATGATTCCAAAGAAGAAAGGTGTAACTCCTTGATTATAATAAATAACTATATTTGTTTTATATTTACTCTTGTCTCTAATTATATATTGAAAGTATCCAGGCATACATAAAACACCTATTCACATCATAACCATCATATTTGTTGAAGGGTTGTTTTAATTATTATTTATGATATTTTATCATTTTGAAAGGGGGGCTTTGAAATATTTATTCATGATTCATTGTCTCGAAAAAAAAAAAAAATTAGCAGTTATTTCACCGCTCTTGTTCGGAGAAAGATTAACCACACTTCGTGATTTAATTTTGTCGAATTATTCTATACTTTAACCAGCATATTTCTCAAAGTGACAGATCTTCAAGCTGGTCTTTCTTGATTGGGTCTTTAGCAATCATGCAAATCTAAGGCACGTGCTGAATCTATCATTGGAAGTATTGTCATTTCAATATCCAGCAAACCCAAGCTGTGGGTGTTAAGACACCCACGCTGAATATTCCTTTTCCACAATTGGTTATTACCAACTACAATCTTAGGTCACAGGGAAAGGATTTCCTGTATTGTAAGAATCCTTTTTTTTTTTTTTTTTTAACGACTTTTTATTCAATTGGGAAACTAATCGGAATTCCATTATCGTTACTTACTTATTATTATTGAACTTTGTATTAACTTCTGAATTTGGTCTTTAGCTAACGAATAAATGTTCGAAAATTGATCATTCCTGATTCCTTTCTTTCGGAAATATTTGAGATTCATCAAAGATTATTTAATATCGTTCAATAACCTGAAGCTTGGATGCCAAAAACTATTGCAATACGTGCCACAATCAATGATTACTTGTATTGATGCTTGCAAAAAATATACCTCCTTTCCTTTATTATATACCACTTACACAATTATTATTTATACATAATACCTATACTATATAAAACAAGCGCCAACGCTTGTTTTCAAAAATATTTAAATATTGTTTATAAATTTTAATAGTTGGTATAACTACACAATGCAAATAGTTTATAAAATTTACAGTAACTATATACCTGTATTAAATAATCCAAGTTTTAAATATCCTTCTGTTACAGAATTAGAACTTCTTTTCTTTTTTTAATAATAAAATTAGAATGCGATATTTAAAAACATGATGGTTGGTAGAGTGACAGTCCATACACGTGACATGCGTTCTTAGTGGTAGAACGGAATACATTTGAAGATCTATAATGATGTATTAATATATTTTAGAATATTTTATAAAAGGTCATATTTATTTTTTTAACTATTTAATGCTAATAAAATTATTGAAACTAATGTTCGACGAAATTCCACTATAATCACTAACTAATATTTGAGGAAAACATAAATAAATTTTTATGTCTTCTAAATTTTTTTCTACTCTGATAAAAATTCACTTTTATACATACTTATAAATAGGCAATAAAGGCAATTAAAAATGTGAATCCATCGTAAATATTTTTAAAAAAAATATTTTAAGCCACTTTCCACACTCAGTGAAAATGTTAGCAAAAAAAATTTATTTTTCGATTACTAAAAAAATTCGTATTTGAGGGTGTTCAGGGATCAACCTTTGAAATACCAAAATAAATTAAGAAGACATTTCTGTATAATTCTGGACCTCATTACCATTTTATTGGCCTCCATTTTGAAGTTGAATTTTCCTCCACAGTGAAGCCTAGGCAGCAGTAAAGTAAGCACATCCTTTTATTTTCTTTACCAGAACATATGAAAGAAACATGATTTTCTTTATCCAAGTGAAACGCCCTGGTGGGGGGAGTATGGAGATTAGAGGAGGCCAAGAAATTAAGCAAATTTTCATCTGAAGCAAAAGTACTTCACTTTCAACCGTGCGATGCCAAAATACAAAATTGTATTTTTTTTTTTTATTTATTTTTTTTTTTTTACCATCAGCAATATTTCCTCCATTTTCTAAAAACAACAAACCAATGATAATACAAAATAAAAAATTGCAACAAAATATCTTATCAGACATGATTCTTTTCGATTACCAAGTTTTTTTTTTAATTTGTAGGGAATTCATGAAGCTTTCGAAAAAAAATTGTGTGTTTTTTTAATTATTTGCAAATAAAATTCTGAATGCATCGTATCAATTTATATAGCTTGTTTTTGGGAAAGTATGTTCTATAGATAAATTATATACGCTTCAAGAGGAAGACTTTAGCCACGTTTTATTAAAATCGTTCCAACCGTATTGGTGTTACAGTCTAAAAGAAATCACTTTTTTTCACCGTCATTTCGAAACGTAAAGCCGGATGGTGATGAAATTTATATAAAAACACTCCTGAATTTGATTGCAACGTCAAAAATTCAAAGAAATCGGTAAAGAACTTTCGAAGATCAACTATTTTTTACAAACTCACATTTATATTCTAATTCACATACACTATTTCCAATTTTTATTTTTTGGTAACACTAAACCTCGTCAATAGCTGGTATAGAAAAAAAAAAGAAAATCGGTTGAGAAAAAAAAGGAGAAGAAAAAGGGACTGAACCGTCTTACATATTTATATAGTAATTATAAATTATTAATTTTTTTTTTATTTCTTAATGACATTTACAACTGTACTAAATAAATACATCTAGTAAATTTGAACATAATGGATATAATGACATGAAAACACTTGCTGAGTAACTACCATTGTAGCACTCTAATTTTATTTAAAATAAATTAATTTATATCATCTTTGATGAATCGAAAAAAAAAAAACATACTTAGAAGATAATAAATAAAATTGCTATGAATTATTTTTTTATTGAAAATTACATTAAGAATAAAACCCCTTAAATTTTATTTTATTTTTTTTTAATTTTAAACGTTGATAATCCTCAAGTATGTAATGCAGAAATAAGTTGCCGATTCCCCTATTACAATTTTAAATTTTAAATCGCCCAAGAAACTTAATCGCAAGTTATTTTAAATTTTACAGAGAGATGTAGTATTGCTGCGTGAAGAATGTAGCAGCTGAGTCAGAGGCTTAGTCAAGATAGATTTCCATAGCCCGGGGGTACATTCCCTACCGCAGTCAGCCTATCGTTTCATGTCCGCATTATTTCAAACCTTTTATATTAAATATCATCAAAGATTAGCCAAAGGAAGAAACCTGTTTTATATTTAAAATAAATTATATTTTAAACAATTATTTATATGACATTATAGTATTTAATAGTGGATTTTATATGTACATTTAACTCTCTATCTATATTAAATAGAAGTGATGAAGTCCACACTTAATAAAAACCTGGTGGGTGCAACACACAACTTTCACTTACCGCTCTACTTTGAATAGAAATTATTTTCTTTTATTTAAATTATTTTCCAATGGCCTCAGGTCTTGGACTCTCAATCTAAGGCAAGGTAATATACAGAGTCTGTTTCAGGATTTTACAATACTTTTAATTAATTTTTTCACATTTTGAGTATGAATACCATAAATTATTTAATTTTTCTTTTACTTAATTTTTTTTGTCTAGCATGCTGGGAAAGGGTTCAGCAATACTGTCTTGATTCGGTCATGTTATTTTTTTAAGGGATATCATCTCTTATCCATCGCCGTTTCAATCTTCCGTATATCCAAGAGTATATCAGCTTTAAATTTGTTTCATATTAAAATGTCTAAAAGATTCATTATATTGTTGGTGAAATTTCTTTAATAATTTCTACTTCAATAATTTCAATCCAATTAATGGTATGATAAACCACTTCTGATAAAAGATTGTAGCTGATCGCTAACAAAATCCCCAGAAAGAAGTATTGGAAGATAAGAGAGAGAAATACTCCGCACGATAACCGGAGCGATCTGAGATCAGAGTACAAACGCACGAACAGCACAAAACTGCTTAGGGAATATTAAATTTATTCAATTACTCACTGATCAATAACGTTGGCCGCAACATTAATAACAGCTTCTGAATTATTGATGTTCTCGAATATGTTTCTTAACACAGAATCAGGATCAGATAAGATACATATTGGCCATCATGATCAGCGAACCCATAAATATAGACGGACATCCCAGCCCTCGGGCATACATAACGCGGTTTGGCGTAACTGCGATCAAAGAGGGCTTGTCTTACCCAAATCTCTTATTAATGCCAGTGTCACAATAGCGAGACCGCGTCCTGACGTAACTCGAGTCCGAAAATATTCCACTACTCGATCGCCGACGTGTGTCATTGTTAGTTCGGGGTGACCTTTTAATAAGGAGCTCTTACAAAACTGGTGGATGACTAGGGATATGTGCTCTGGCCGAGAACTTCGGCTGCCAGTCACCGCGGCGGCTCTGCGTAACGCACAGGTGGTCTAGTTTTGTAAATCCGGTTTTATTAACGAATCCTAAGATGTGGCGGTTCTATTCTAGTGGATTCACGTCCTGATTTCACACTTCTTTAGAAAAAAAACAAAATGCGATAAACTGGTAGCTGAATCACGAGAACTCAACACCTTATGGAGAAAGGCAGGTTAATCGCAAATTACCGGAAATGATTTCCCGTTTGAGAAACACACTCGGCATCTGTCACCTCCCCTAGATGATTGATCTGCTAATTTCCGCTCATTTGATTCCTGTTCTAATCCTGATGCCCTTTTTAGTATTACTTGATCTGATGGAGGAACCCTATCAGGTTTCTTGTGATATTTCTTCAACGCATGCGACTGGTTTTAAAAATAGTCTGTCCACACGAGTCATTGCGTCTCCACAAACTTTAAAAAAAAATTATGTTTGTTTGAAGCCGTTTATGAATTAATTACATGTTATTTTCTTGTATCTTAACTGTAACGGATTCAAGCGCTTCAAACCATTTTATCTTTTCCAAAGTAATGATTGAATTGAAGAGAGAGAAACACTTTATTGTCATAAAATGGTGCTGTCCAACTATATTGGGTTACTACAGAAGCAGCATATCTATAAATCTGTTACTACAATTTTTTAAAATGTATGCAAATATAGTAAACATATGTATTTTTACTTTCCTACCTTTACTAGGAACTAAGGAAAGTATTGCAATCGGGTCAAATTTCCGATCTGTACGCTTCAGAGCCTTCTGAGTCCGAAAAACACATTTTTAGCCATTGGTCTATCTGTCTGTCTGTACCAAGATTTTTTCGGGAAATACTGAACCGATTTTGTTGCTTCTTTTTTTATTTTGTAAGGTTTTGACTACTAATGTCTGTGACAGAAATTCGGTGCTCGGTGCAATAGCTTGCGCGCAATAAATGAAAAACATGTTTTTCTATAGACTTATATATACTTACTTATATAGACTTATAGCGCGAAAACGGCTCTAACTATTTTGATGAAACTTTCCTATAATGTTCTAATCATTGTCCTTTCAATTTTTCTATATAAACTAAATTCACGGAAAAATTCAGAAAAAAAGTTATAAAGGAAAGAAAAATGTTATGGGGCCTTACTCCCTAAGTATATGTTAAACGGTAAAATTTATAATAAAACATTTGAAAGGTAATTAAATTACCAACACAACAAAAAAAAATCATCGGAATCGAACCAGTATTAGCGATGATACAGCTTATTCTTTTTTTATACTTTTTTTAATTTATTACTTTCCTACCTATACTAGGTAAGGAAAGTATTGCAATCGGGTCAAATTTCCGATATGCGGTTTTCGACGGATCTGTACTTTTCAGAGCCTCCTGAAATTTTTACACTGATCTACCTTGAGCCGGTTTACATTGCTTTAGTTTATCAAATAAATCGTACTCAAATCTTTTGTATGATCAATTTTCATTAAAATAAATCTGGTTCAATTCATTTTTGTTTCTTCATGAACATATGTAAAGATATAAAAACTTTTCTGAAATAGGTAGGAAAGTCGTTTGAGTGGACACACCAGATATTTTTTATTACACTCAATTTCCGCTCATTTTTTTAACTTTCTGTTTTAATGATTTTTCTGCATTTTTTTTTGTTAACCTAAATTTTTTTTTCTCTATTAAATTGATTACGTTGAATTATCTTGGGAATATCAATTTTAATATTTTATTAATATTAATTAATTTTGTTTATTTTTACAATATTAGCTTTAAATATAAAAAATAAAATAAAATAAATATTTAAAATACTGTTTTATTAACGTTATTAATTTTCTTTTTTCTTTGGGTTTCCCATACTTCTTGAACTGTAATTTTGGTTCTAATTATGACTCAAGTATGCTTCGCATTTCGATTATGTTGACTGATACAACTTGTGATATTCAAGCTAAGATAAAAGATGTTTTTTTATATCATTATGTTTACTCTGGTAATAGTTGTAGCATGTATTATACTATAAAAAAAAACTGATTTTATATATCCCACATAAATAAATTATAAGAAAAACAGCACTTTTTACTTATACTGTTACAATATTCAGAGCGATATAATTAGATTTTTATTAGTATTTCCTCTATTAAGTAATATTAAAGTTGTCGCATGTCCAACATATTATATATTACATAGATTTATAATAAAATAACGCATGTTACGATGGATCTTGTTGTTAGTAATAGCTTATTATATAATGAACCATTTTCCTTTTAAATGGTAATAAATTCAAATCATTCTGTGTTAGAACAAAGTGATTTACAAAGACATGGTCAACCCACACTACTGTTTCAAAATAGCTTTATTATTCATAGTTATATTTAGCATTTGGAATTATGGTTTTTCCAGCTAATTTGGGTTTTTATTGTTGATTGCGATTGTGTTTTATGTAGCCGGACATTTCCCGATACTGGTTGACTAATCTAATAAAGCTCTTAAATAAATTTATCGCTGGCTAGAATCGACTATGTTAATGAAAACATGTAATGGACCATTACCGTCGAGTCGGGCAAGGCATCTCCTACGCTGCGGCTCTCTTATCGCCCTGGCTCTTATGATTTACAGCTGTCAATGGACCAAGGCCGGGTACTCCATATTCCTCCAGTTCCAGCTAAATTAAATCCCTCCATTGTCTTGCGAAGTCAGTGCCAACCTTCACTGGAGATAACTCACCGTCGATCATGCTCCTCTTCCTGATTAATATTAATGCTCGGCCAGGACCTGGATAGAAGGGAGAGGGGACGGTGTCAGCAAATCGAAATTTATATAACGCCCGTAGATGTCTCCCACAAGAAGAGGATGAGGCATTCCAACTATGTGCGATTCAATCATAAGTAAGAAATCGGCTAAGGATACATGATTAATGTTCAATTCTTTTCTATTTTTTTTTTATTTTTTATTTATTAAATATTACACCGTTCTGTCTCTTGGACATTAGATATAGCGAGCTAAGATCACATTCACACTATATGTACAAACAAATATAAAATAAACAGAAGAAAATTAACAAATACATAATAATCAAAAAGTATATACACAAAATATAAAATAAAATAACTTAAAAATAAGGAAAAAAAAAAGAAAGAGAATATTTTCTGTTCTATTAGAAAATAGATATATGTCGAATATTGTTTAGATATAAAAATAAAATTAATGTTTCCTGATTTTTTCGATAAAGATATCAAAATTGGGCCTTTCAGTTGACAAAATGACTAACACCAATTTCAACATTTTTTATTATTAATTTTGGTGATATTTCTTGTGGGAAAATTTATAGCATTGTTCACAGTTATATACTTCAACACTGCGATCACATACTCTGGAACCAACTTACTTACAGATATAAATTTTTCAACTAGAAATATCACTAACACGACTTAACTCAAAAATGTTGAAATTAGAGTCAGTCATTCTGTAATAATTTTGTAACTGAAAGGCTCATTCGAAGTATAAATAGAATAAAAACCTTACTAGTCTTTTATTAAATTCCATTAATTTTTTTTAAATGAATCTTATTTTATGATGAAGACTACTACTACTTTTAAGCTGAAAAAAATTCTGTAAGACTTAAAATAAATGTCTTCAATTATTCCGAAATATATATATTTTTTTATTGTATTCAGATACAATATATATAAACAGTACATTTATTTATTACAATGATTGAAACATTTATAGAAATTTTTAAAAAGTGATGTCTTTTTAAAAACTGTCATATTGTGTATTTGTTTCTTTAATATCATATTTGTATATCATTCTTTAAAACTTGTCCGCAGAAAATTAATAAATATCGATATCCAATTCGATAATTCACTTTGATATTATTTACTTATAGTATTATTAAATAGACTATGATTATTTTTCATGAATCAATCAGGCATCGTTTTATTTATTTATTCTATACCGAATCTTTGTTAAAAATGAACACTTTTATTATTCCCAAAAAATTTTTTTATATTTTTTAAATAAAAATGAAATGATATGGCATGATAAGGCCATTTCATTAGCCCTTATGATACTTTGTATAATTAAAAATAAAATAAAATGGTTATAGCGGGCTGAAGGAAATTGACTTTGACTAAATTAACATATCAAATAAAAAATCTTTCTACTCCACGTCAAGGACGATCCCAAATTAGCCCCGTGGTGTCGTAGTCTTTTTTATTTTCTGATATGCAAATTATAATTTGACTGTTAGATTTAATTAATAAATTCAAGTACCTATTGATCAAGTTAGGTTTTATTTTTATTTGGAATTGTTAATTAGGAACATTGGTGTTTCGAAACAGTTGCGTTTTTGAGGGACCATCTTCATTTAACACAATGGATACATTTATCTGTATAATTTGCATCTGGATTTGTCTCTGTGAATTATTTTTTACTAATCCTAAGAATATAAATTTATAATTATTTAAAGATCTCTTGAGCATATTTATAAAATGTTAGTAAGTTGATTTATTTAAAAATTAATTCAAGGAACTAATTTTTTATTTAGTTTCTTTTACTTCCTTTAATATTCATATTAGTATGACCAATCTATTTTCATAAAACGTTGAAACTGCTTCGAAGCTATTAGTAATCTATCTCTATTATTTCTATTAATGTTATTATAGCAGCTTATTATCAATAAACAAATAAATAATCCAAAACGAAAAATATTTAATGAAAAGAATATTTGTATCATATTATAAAATTCGAGAACTTTTTTATAAGTTCAACTCCTAGGTTCGATTTTTAAATACATTTGTATTTTGTGTATGAAGAAATTTTAATCAAAATAATTAACATTTATCATAATATATTACGTCATAGAGCGTAGGCCTTTGAATACATGGATGGATATTTATTCACTTATAAAAAGATATAAATGGAGATTAACTTGAATGAAAATCGATTCGTACAGTTTCAGATATTAATTGAACATCGATGGAAAGTCGCTACGAAATGACATGCACTTATTTGAAATATATTTAAAACGGTTTCAATGTTAGTATACCTAAAACGAAAACTATTTCTAAAATTGAATTTACAAATTCTTATTACTATTAAAGTTAATAGCATATGTTAATGGAATTCTACATTATTGGGTGATAAGATAGGAGATAGAATGAGGAAAATGGGTATTTAAGTATGTTGTTAT